GATGGTGGTAATACATGTACTTTATTTTTATGTTAATGTTATTTATTTATTTGATCTCACTCGTGTGGATGGTTTGTTGTCGTCAGGGAGTCCTGCTGATTGGTGAACAAGGCACGGCTAAAACCGTCATGATCCAAGCTGTGATGGCCAAAGCCAACCCTGACGAGAGACTCAGCAAAAGTTTCAACTTTTCCTCCGCCTCTACCCCGGGCATGTTCCAGGTACGTCTGAGGATTGGCATGTGCCCCGGCCAGCGTGACCAATCACTAACCGTTTGGCAGTAAAATTGTTCCAGCGACCGCTAGCTTCTGTGGTGCCATTGGCGTAGAAACCTGACATGTTCACTAAAGTACAGTCCGACTCACACATAGCTAAATCGTCCATACACTGAAATATTATCGTTTTGTACGAATCTTGCTATGTACATCTTTTAAATACTAAAAAATACATGCATAAAAAACAAAAGGGGATCTGAAAATCTGTACACTATGCTTGTGTTTGTCTATGTGCATGTTTCACTATGGGCGTGTTTATCATGTGTTTGCTAGACTGTAAAAGCCCCCCGGGGTAGTGCCACTGACTATAGTGTCTTTAGGCCATTCCCAAAGGGGGGACATTTCTCGTTCAAGCACAGTAGAATTGTAAATTGGCTGATTCATGTCACGCTCATAACTGTGCCTGATTTACAACAGGGAACTGCTACTTTTTCTTTCCTAATCCTTACTATTGTCATTTTTTCCTCTACTTCTTTTGTATGTTTCTCACTCTCTTGTGACCTGCTATTTTTGGGTGCCTTGAAGCAGACCTTGTGCTGTTGAAGCTAGAGAGGTGAGCAGAATAAGTCTGATTCCCTGTAAGGACCTCTCTGTTGACATCCACCCCTTGGCACTCATATGACCTTATGCAGTTGCGAGCGCCGTAAAACCCTCTACTATAAAAAAAAGACTTAAAAGGTATCGATTTTTCAGGATGTTGGAATTTTTCTTCTCCTTGCAGTATTTGTACCACCCAGCCGTAGGTCCTGGTGTCGAACCAACTGGCTATATCTTGGAATTAGGCGACATTTTGTTCTGGTGAGACTCTATCACTAGAAAATGTTCATTTCTTTAAAAATAAAATACGATCTGTGAAATGCAGCCTAGGAAGAACATTTTGGGGGCAATTGTGTGCACTGTCATAAGGATGGAACTGACGCCAAACAAAGCGCAAGCTTTACATGTATTTATTTATGTGTTTGTATTGTTTCTTCCAACCTTCCTCAGAGAACCATCGAGAAATGCAGCCTC